GATCTCAGACTTTAAAAGTTGGTAGAATCTTCTGTTTCCTCTTCTTTGGCTTTGGTTGTTAGTGCATATATCTGAATGATAGTGATATTCACTGGACTTCCTTGTATGCGTATGTATATTATCCTGTCACTCACAATATTGAACTTCAAGACGGATCTAGAAATGGCTTTTCTAATTATGAAAGCAAACCCATTTTTCCTCACGTTTTCATTTCCGGAGTAATATATCATATGATCATCTGACTCAAAATGCCCCATGCCAGTCCATCTCATCTCACTAATGCCTAGTATGTCAATATTTATGCGTTCCTTTTTTTCCTTAACAATATCTAATTTTCCTACATTCATGGTTCTCACATTCCATGTGCCAATCATTAGTGTCTGCTTACAACTGTTCCTCTTCCTTTGTATTTCGATACTCAGTTGCCCTTTCTGTCATTCTATGGTGTTCTGTGGTACATAGGGTTTTCAGAGGCCTGCTATTTCGGAATTAGATGGCCAATCCTTTTTCCTAGTGGGCCTTAATCTGAATGTTCAGATTTAAAGAAGTATCCAACAGATAAGCATGTTACAGAAAAAGTGAAAGTATATTCCTTATTGTGGAATTAAACATTAGTGCCAGTGTTGTCCCTGCCCTTGACACAAGTTTCTTGACCTATTTATTTCTTTGCTCCACCATCTATCAAGATACCTATCCACTTCTACCCACTCCCTTCATCATCTATCTCCCATTCTCCAGTCCTTGATCTGATAGCTTATATCTAAAGCTTCCTTGGCTTTTGTTATTCCGGACATGCCAGCTGCTAACAGGTTCTTATACTGTGACCAGAGACTCCTAAGTTTAGGTGTAATGTGTCCTGAATGAAGATGATGTGTCCTGTGGAACTGGTGTATAGATAGTTTCTTCTTGGGCCGAGTCCCTCACAGCCTTGGGGTCCTCTACTGTTACCTGTGTGGGTGGGGATTTTCAGCTCTGTTGTGCTGCCTTGCTTTTTCACCTGTGAAGCTTTCTTTCTGCCCTCTCTAAGTGTCCTGCGACCCAGTCCCATGCAGATAATATAGCTTTTCATAATATTCTGGTATTTGCAATTTAATTTTATCTGGTTCTCTTCTGACGTGACCTCTGTACTTTTTAATTGAATTATCTGTGTCTTCTTTTTTTTCTTTTCTTTTGTTAAGTTTTCCAATGGCTTGTCAATTTTATTGACACTTTTGAAAAACCAGCTCCTGGTGTTATTTATTGATAGTTTCTATTGTTTTTCTGTTTTTTTATCTCCTTTATTTCAGCTCTTATCTTTATGACTTTTTTTCTTCTAGTGGCTATAGGATTAGATTGTTGTTCTTTTTCTATTTGATGAAGGTATTGAGTTAGATTGTTGGTTTTCCTTCTTTTTTCCTTTTTTAAGTGTGTGCCTGTTGTCTCTGAGAACTACCTTAGCTACATCTCATAGGTTTTTGTATGTTGTGTTTTCATTTTCATTTGTTACTAGGAACCTTTTTTATTTCACTGTTTTTTTCTTTTAGAACCCAATCATGTTCTAGTAGAGAGTTAATTTCAACATATGTGGTTTTCTAAGCTTACTCTTGTTGCAGAGTGTCAAGGACTGCAGCCTGCAATATGGATTGGGCTCAATGTCAGGAAGACAAAGATTCTCACCACTGGACCAATTGGCAGCATCAGGATGGATGG